AGCCCTAAACTCTGAACCCTAAAGCCAGGGTTCGGGTGAAGGGTTTCCATGCTTACCATTACGGCAGCTCTAGGGGGCTCCTTGCGGGCTTCATGCCGACAGTTAGGGTTTAGGGTTTAGGGTTTAGGGTTGAGGAAAGTTTAGGGCGTGTTTAGGGGTTTAGGGTTTAGGGTGTTTAGGGCTTAGGGTGTTGAGGGTTTAGGGTTGAGGGGTTTTGATCCTTCTACATAAACCCCAAGCCCCAAGCCCCCTGGAGGTTGAGAATTCTCTGCAACACTCTAGCCTATGACCCCCAAATCTAGGACATATTCAGGTGGGTAGTTACCGTTCCAGGAGCCTTATAGAAGGTCTATATACCTTATAGAAGCCTTATAGAAGCCCTATATACCGTAAACTCGCCACCTGTAGTTTCTCTTAACCGAAGGGAATGATGACCGTTGAAGAAAAGGCTTGAACAGTGTGTAGGAATCCGCCTTCTGGGAACATGGCGAGGACACGGATAGCGAGAAGAACCATGGTTTCATATCTATTATTATTATTGTTATTGTTATTATTATTGTTATTGTTACTTTTATTGTTATTATTATTGTTGTTATTATTATTAGTATTGTTACTATTAGTATTGTTATTAGTATTTTTTACTATTATATATATATATGTGATATACATACATACCTACATACATACATACATACGTACGTACGTACGTGCATGCATGCAAACATAATCCCTCAAACCTAAATCTGAACCTCAGCACCTGTTTGCCACAGGCTTTGCTAGTCGTTTTTTTGTTATTTTTGCATTTTTCGGTTTTGTTGGCGTCATTTGGTGCTTTTGCTGTTCGATCTTGTTCGTTCTAGCTCGTACTTGTTGGCCAAGCTTCGTGAGGATTCGTCAGGTTTGGGGATTCAAGGCCTTGGGCTTCGGGCTCTTTAGGGCTGACTTGGGGTTTAGGGTTTAGGGTTTGGGTTTACTTCCGGTTTGGGTTTTACTTGGGGTTTAGGGGTTTAGGGCTTAGAAGTACAATCTGGGAGGGAGCTGGGAGCGACACAGCTGCATTTTTTTTGCCGGTTCCTTTTTCGAGGTTTGTTTAGAGTTTTGTCCCCCTTACCTTCTAAGGGGAGTCCAGCAAGGAGCACACTAGTTGTTCAGGCCCTGTAGGAGGCTTAAAGGTACATAAACCCTAAACCCTAAACCCTAAACCGTTGCGGCTCAAGGGTAAGCGACAGTTAGTACGTCAGCCTTCGCCAGTCCTCAGCAAATCAGCGAGGCAACTCTGGTTTCGCAAGGTTTAGGGTTTAGGGTTTCTGCCCTGCACCTTGAACCATGGGATTTAGTAACCAGGGTTGTAAACAAGTAAATTGTATCTTAGTTCTCCAATAGCCAACCTTTAAACTTTTTGGGTTCTTATAATTTAACTGTAGTCTGAAAGGCTTAGTTTAATCTGTTATTTCCCTGGCTTCTTGGGGAAGTAAGTGTGTTGATACCTATAACCCTGAACCCTAACACCGAGAAAACCCTAAACCCTAATTCCCAAACCCTAACACCGAGATCCTACACCCCAAACTCGAAATTCTAAACCCTAAGCCCTGAGCCGCTTGTAACCCTGATAGATTGAGTCTCGTGTTCCTCCAAGCAAAATCCAACGCCCCAAGGTTTAGGATTTAGAGGGTTAGGGGGTTTTAGGGTTCAGAATCAGAATTTTAGGGGTTAGGGTTTACGTTAAGTGTTTTCATCCAATCATACAGGGGCCAGCAGGAGATAATGAAAATCTACCCAGCCCTGAAATGTAGCTGTTCGCTGTCTAGAATGGTCGCCAAAACCCTAAACCCTAAACCCTGTGAGGATGTGCGGGCGGTTTCTTTCCGGGGGTCAGACGCGAGGATCTGTGGTTCGAAGTAGGTTCGAGTGCCTAAACCCCCTAACCGTAAGCCCCATGCAAAACCATTCCTTAAATCCTAAATCCTAAGCCCGAGAATGAGGCGAACTACAACTAGATGTGTGTAAATACAACCAGACGGGTAAAAATGCAACTCAAATCTCTAGAAGTTGGGTTAGATGGGTGAACACACAACCAGATGGGTGATAGTACAACTGGGGCCGTTGGTCCAACGGAGTCTATGGGTATTGTTGAGTAGTTGGGGAGTGAGATTGTTGAAAGTGGCATGAAAAAGGACTCCTTGACAACTTCGTTGTAATCTCTGATTGCCGACATGCCGTTCGTACCTACATGACCGAAAGCATACAAACAGAAATAATCATGTTAAGTATTGCCTACTTGCCGTTCGTACCTACATGACCAAAAGCATACAAACCGAAATAATCATGTTAAGTATTGCCTACATGCCGTTCGTACCTACATGACCGAAAGCATACAAACGGAAATAATCATGTTAAGTATTGCCTACTTGCCGTTCGTACCTACATGACCAAAAGCATACAAACCGAAATAATCATGTTAAGTATTGCCTACATGCCGTTCGTACCTACATGACCGAAAGCATACAAACCGAAACAAAGAAACACATGTTAAGCATTGCCTACGTGCCTTTTCTGCCTATATGACCGAAAGCATACACATATTTAGTATTGCCTCCATGCCTTTCGTGCCTATATGACCGAAAGCATACACATATTTAGTATTGCCTCCATGCCTTTCGTGCCTATATGACCGAAAGCAGACACTTCGAAATAATCATGTTAAGTCCTCATTCGTGCTAGGGCGCAAAGAGAAGGGACGAATACGCACCACCTTTATCTACTCGTAGTTTTGGTGCTGGAACTTTAAGGCTGTACCATGGATGTTCTGCAGAGAACGTCCAAACTTATCAAGGCAGCGCAATAGCCAGTTGTGATTTCTCCCGCCGACAATAGTGGTTCAGTTGTGTTTTTCCACCGTGTGGTTGCATTTTCACCCGTTTGGTTGTATTTCAACCCGGTCGCCCCCTAAACCCCTAAGACCAAGACCCTACCCAGAGACTCCAATATCCCTTGATTAAGGAATATACCTTAAACTATAATACGAACCCTAGTAAGATGTAAGGTAAATTCCTTAGTTAAGGGATCTTGGAGTCTCTGGGTAAGCCCAAACCCAAAGCCCAAACCCTGGAACAACAAGTCCTAAACCCTCAACCCTGAAGCCCTAGTCCCTAACCCCAAAAGCCCTAAACCCTAGAACCCTAAAGCCCTAAGCCCTAAACCCTAGCACTAAGCCCGGCCCTGAGGCTATGTGTGACAACTCGATCTTCTTCGAGAAGGAGTCGGTCGACCTGCTCAAGGACACGAACTTCAAGGCCAGGGAAAGTCTCTGACGATTTTTAGGGTTTAGGGTTTAGGGTTCAGGGCTTCGGGTTTAGGGTTGAGGATTGAGGGTTTTCGGGTTTAGGCTTGAGGGTTTAGGGTTTAGGGTTGAGGAGTTTAGGGTTTTAGGGGCTGTAGGGTCGACTCGGAGGCTTGAGTTTTGTTGCCCTTGGCCCTCAAGTGGCCTTCAAGAGTTCTGTTGCGTAGAGTTGCATTTTCAGCAGCTTTGATCATCTTCGTGGAGTTTTGCCTTACGGATGATTAGTGCGTCAGTGTCTCTCGATCTGTCTGTCCATCTATCTCTCTCTCTCTATCCATCTATCTGACTATCTCTCAATCCCTGTCGCCCATCTGCAGGGCTTCCTTAAACCCTAAACCCGAAACCCCTAAACTCCCGGCTTTGCTTATCTTTGCTTCAAGAGCGTACGGCTTCAGATTCGAGCTTGAATCACAGGGCTCCCAGGCTGGGATGAAGGTAGGTGGGATAGTTTTTCGAAGTTAGAGTTTTTATAGTATAAGGGATCCTTTATCCTACCCCCCTCAACGCTAAACCCTAAACCCTCAACCCTAAACCCTATAAGCCCTAAACCCTCAACCCTAAACCCTAAACCTTATAAGCCCTAAACCCTAAACCCTAAACCCTCAACCTTCAAGCCATTTTGGCTCAAGATCCCGGGCTTGTTCCTGTGAGGTCGCGACTGGTGTAGTGCCCTTCAGGGTGGTTTGCCGGTGGCCTTGTGGTCGGCGTGTTCTACTTGACCGACTGTCTCGGGCACGGGGTCCAGGTGTTCAGGCTCGGCTTCCCAGCGGGGGTCCCAGGCTCGATTCGCGGCTCCCTGTAGGCTGGGTGACGCTCGGTTGCTACTACCAGATTCTGCGCGTGCACAGGACCTTTGGCGGCAATGTCTGAACCCTCTCTTCGCATAGGCCTCCCGGGAGCGCTTGGGGATGATGATGACGAGGACCTTCGAGAGAAAGATAGTCCCTCCAAGAAGCCGAGAGCGAGCCACAACAAGAGTCCAGGGGAGGTCACTATGGACTCTCTGCGGCAGCTGCTCTGGGAGCAGGCTCAGATGCTCCTAGATGCCCAGAAGTCCAGCACGGCTCAGGTTCAGCATGCGTTGCAGGACCTTGAGAAGAGGCAGTCGCAGCGAATGGATGTGGTCGAGGCCCAGCTTCAACACCATGATGCCAAGGCCGCGGGGATCGAGGAGAAGATGCTTGATCTACAGGACAGACTCGCCAAGGTTGAGCAGGGACAAAGCTCAGCTGCAGGAAGAGGACCCGACAGAAGGGCGACCCTTGTGTTTGGTGGGTGGAAGAATCAGACCCGGAAAAGTGTGCTGTTACACCAGCTCAACGGCGCGATTGCCGGGCTCAACTTGAAGGAGCAGTTCGATTCGGATCCGTTCACTACTGGCCTGCGGAGGTCCATAGCCCTGTGCAATTTCAAGAAACGGGATGGGGAAGGCGAGGACGGTTGCCGTGCACGCATGCTGAGCATTCTGCAGACCATCAACGCGGCCAAAGTTGACATGGACGGTGCAGACAAGCCGCTCTGGTGCTCCTTCTCGAGGTCGCCGGAGGAAAGGGGCAGGGCAGCCCTTGCGGCGCTGGTTAAGAAGTCGGTCATGAGATTGTGTCCGGGGCGAGGTGGGGACCTCGAGGTGGAGTTCTCCTCGGGGATGACCTGGATTCGCGAAGATCAGCTCAGCGGCATGGGCAATGCACCCAGAGAGGTCAGAAACCCCATGGAAGTGCTCACTAAGGCTGGCAAAGGCTGGATCGATGAGCACACCCTTGCGAAGTGGTGTGAAGTCAATGTCTCTGCGATTCGGGACATTGCTTCGGAACATCGCTTCTGACCTGACCTTACCTTACCTGAATACCTTCTGATGTGTCCACAGGACGATCAGAGGGGCTCCAGTTCTGCTGTGGATGAGAGTCTTAGGTCTGCCACAGAGAGCAGCTCGAATGGCTTCAAGATCCTCGGGTGGAACATCGGTGGGGCCGACCCGCACCAACTGTCTAAGGCAGTCGTGGATGGCTCAGGCTCGCACCTGGGAAAAAACGACCTCATGCTGTTGCAGGAGCTTCCAAGAGCATGTGAAGGTTGGTCATACATGCAGATTTCAGGGCAAAGGTTGGTGGGCCACCGGGCAGGGTCGCAGTGGAGAGGGACAGGGTTGTGGTATGATGAACGAGCTTGGTGTGTCCTCCGTAAGCTTGGAACTCGCAAAGGTACGTGGTTCAAACTCCGCCACTTGGAATACCCTTTCGAGCTTTGGCTTGGAACTGCTCACTTTACGCCAGGGTGTCCTGTTCAGCAGTACGAGGAGGAGGCAGCGAACCACTTTGGAGGACTTCCGAGAGCTGCGCATAGGGTGGTGTTTCAGGGTGATGTCAACACCGGGTTCACATGGCAGGCTGATGAAGGGGATGTGACCGCAGTCGCAAAAGAGGGAAAAGGGGGAGTTCTACATCAAGTCTGCCTGGAACACAGCCTTCGGATTCTCTCCCCCGGGCCTGCCTACCAGCAACTTCCCACTACCAGGCCTCGGCAGGAGGACAGAGAGGGCCAGTGCATCGACATCTTCGCCGGGAAGTGTGTGCTCCCTAGAGGGGTATGGATTCATGCTGACTCCTTCATGTGCCTGGGTACGGACCATGAACTCCTAGAAAGCAGGTTTGCCTTTCCGACACCCAAGAATCACAGTCGGCATGCTAGCCAACCTCGGGTCTGGACTGGGCACCTTGAGCAGATTGACCACATTGACCAGGATGTCCTCGAAGCACTTGCTCACAGTCACACCAAGCAAAAGCCAGGGATGGGGTACCGAGATACAAAAGAAGTCAAGGCAGCATTTGCTGAAGCAAAGCGGCAGGGTACATCTCAGCTTTGGAAACACGCCCTCAAGCTCAGGAAGGAAGCGAGGAAGAAGTGGGAGTGGGATAGACTTCAACGTGCAAGCCAGGGGGATTGGGGGTCATTCCGTGCCCTTAAGCGCCCCAAGCAAGAGGGATGGGATGTGGTCTTCTCGGAGCACCAGCAAGGTGATCCACATGTGGCAGTGCATGAACATCTCACCTCTGTGTATGATGGCGAGGAGATTTCTCCTGGCGAGACCTGGCGCGGGGATATCGAAGCATTCACCATCGAAGAGCTACGAACGGGTCTTGGGCATATGAAGAGAGGGAAGTCAGTAGGGGTTGATGGCACCTCCGTGGAACTGTTGCAGGGCATTGTTGCAGTACCTGGAGGAGAGGGTCACCTGCTCGAGTACTTCAACAGGGTTCTTACCACACAGGAAATCCCCTCCAAGTGGAATGAGCCTCTCCTCGTCATGATTCCCAAGGTGACAGCCCCCACACTCCCCAAGCACCTCCGACCAATTGCTATGTCCAGCGCAGTTGGGAAGTTGTTTGCACGCCTGCTTCTGAACCGTGCTCTCCCCAAGATCTGCCCTACCACCTATGCTCAGGGCGCAGGCAAGCACCGTCAGACAGCGGACTATTTGTACACTGTCTTCCGAACCCTTGAGCTCTGCAGAGAGTGGGGTCACCCCCTCACCATGTTTAAGCTCGACCTTGAGAAGGCCTTCGATCGACTAGATCGACCGGCACTACTACACCAACTGGAGGCAAGGCTCGGTGCTGGGGCTGAACTTCAATGTTGGCGAGGGTTGCTGAGAACCACGAGAGCATGTTTACAGACCCCGTGGGGGAACAGTACGGTCAACATGAAGAGAGGGATAAAACAAGGGTCGGTGGAGTCCCCCAGCTTCTTCGGACACATTACAGAAATGGTCCTGGCAATGGCGGTTGCCTCTCCCCGGTGGCAGGAGCACCCCAGGGTTTTGGAGGGAATGGACGCGGAAGAAATGCTCTTCGTTGATGATGGTGTTCTGTGGACCCGAAGCTGCCGTGCTATGGAATCCAGGGTCGGGGAACTCGTGGGCTACCTCTCCAACTTCGGGCTCTCCCTTAACCCCCAAAAGTGCCAGCTTTATGTCTCGAAGAACGTGAGAGATGGAGATGAGATCAGGGTGAGTGACACAGTGGTCAAAGCCTCAGGGGTCATGGAAGTAATGGGAATCTCCATGTATGTGGGCATCTCAATCTATGAGCTGATCTCCCCCCTGACCTCACGAGCAAGGGCAAAATTCTGGGAGCTGCGGCATATCTTCCGATGCAAGTCGGGGATGAAGGGCAGGGTGAGGGTTCTACAAAGGGTAATTGGAGCAACGGCACTTTGGTGCCTGTGCAGCTTCCCTCCCGATGCTGCTGCAATGTCCCTGCTGAACGCTACGCAATTGCAACTGATGGTATGGCTTCTTCGCTTCTCCAAGAAAGAGAGTGAGTCATGGGTTGAGTACCGTCAGAGGGCATTTAGAGGGGCGAGAAGTGCTCTCTGCAACTCTGGAGTTGAGAGATGGTCCACCCTGTGGTTGCGTCGATGGTGGTCGTTCGCCGGGCATCGTGTTCGAGGAATGCTCGCACCCCACCCCGTCATCAGTTCACTGTACGAGGATTTCAGAACGGGTCCGTGGTGGCAACTTGAAAAGCAAAAGAAAGACGGCCTGAAGCACTGCCAGCACTACCCCCGGTTGTCCAACCTCGAAACCAAGATGAACATGGTGACCCAAGGGCCTTGGCGCATAAGAGCACATGATCGTGTTGCCTGGAAACAGCTTGAAGATCGGTGGGTGGAGTTGATGGACTTGCCCTGGTCGTCGGGGAGACAGCTTTCAATCAGGGATCTTTAGAGTGTCACCCGGAGAGAGTGAGTAGGGTCTGGCTTGCGGTGTGTATAGGTTGTGGCTGTGCACAGAGTGCTGTCATGTGAAGGTTTTCCTGCCTGATGGCTCAGCGCCTGTCTTGCACTTGCTGACTCGCTGCTAGCTTGGCCTCCTCTAAGAGCCATGCTCATGATCTTTCTACATGTTGCGGTGGCTGCTGTATGTGGCGGCCACGATGTGAATCCCGAAGGGAACTTCACACGTCCATATCGATATGATGGCGACCCGTGCCCATCAATGCCCACATCCACACGCGTTCCGCTTTTGAGCCGGGCACACCCGTGTCTGTACTGTTCCTTTGAGACGGTCAAGCTCGTGGCGGGCATGGAATTCGTTTTCTGCAAGGAACCTTGGCAGAGCACTTCAGAAGAAGGTGAAAGTTGCTCCTGCTCACTGCCTCGGCCTCACTGCCCAGCGGTGGACCTTCCGGGAGAACATGGACCAGGTCGGCGGGTGCAGGGCGCCCTGAGATTCATCGGCTACACGATCAAGGACTTTAACCCGGTAGAGTCTCGTGGGAGCAATCGAAACCAGGCTGAGACGGATGAAAACGTGCTGCTCTCCCTGCACAGGCCCTTCATGCTGCTGCACGTCTTTGCTGCTGGTTTTGACTTCGCATACCCAGAGGATGAGCATGGTGCCCCGGGATGGTACCTGGACGCTCTCGAAGGGGGCAAGGAGCTGATCGAGAATGGGATCACTACAAGGAGACTGGCTGAGAGCATCCTCGAGGAGTTCGAGAACTTCGACGACGATACCTTCATGGCCGAGAACGAGGACCAGTTGAACAGCATTATCAGGAGCCTTGAAAGATTCGAAGAAGTACGAGACCCCACTGTGAGGTGGTATGGAAGACCTAGGGACATCAGGGACAAGGACATTCGCACCTTTGGACGCAACACGGCCGTGACGGTTCGACACTTCTGGCACTGGAGGAGATGCCCGGTTGCCATGGAAAACAGAGTGGCGGAGGCCCACCTGAGAAGACTGGGTATCCACCCAGTTACGCTCTCACCCGGCCGAGACTGGGAGGAGGACAAAGAGCGTCGAATGTTGTCTCGGTCCAGGTCCCCGCAGAGAAGACAAAGACAGAGGCAGAGGCCAACTGGACAGGAAGGGGATGGGGATACAACGTCGTTGACCCAGAAGCGCAAAAGTGTGGCCAGCCGTAATGGGGACCAAGAGGAACAGAGGCGCAGGCGTACAAGGGAATGGAGAGGGAGGGTGTCTACGGAGTTGGCGGGACTACGCACGCACAGGGCTCGGGCGGAAGCTAGAAGACACCTGTTCTTTCAGCTTTGCCGAATCCACGGGCCCGACATTGTGCCCTTCGCCGAAGAGCTCATGGAAAGAGTATGGACCCTTGAAGATGCTGAACCGGTGGGGCGCCAAACAGCAGACACAGTTGCCAGCGACTGGGCCACCCGGGTTGCGAATGAGGTTGGCATGATGTGGGTGGACGCTCAAAGGTCAGGAGACACCTCGTCGGCAAGCACTGGCGGACCTCGCGCGGAAGGCCATGCTCCAGTCCGTAGGGAAGTGGCACTGGACCCTCCGGAGGACACACCATATAGCATCTTCCATGCTGCCTGGGTGTGGCCGAATGGCTCGTGGAGTACGCGGGGTGAGATGGAACGCATGGGGTTTGGCCACCTGGTCGCCAGAGCAAGCCCCGTCGCTGATACCGAAGGAGAAGGTGTACATGAACCTGATCGAGCAGGAGGAACAACAGCAGAAGACAGGGAAAGTGGCACAGGTGGAGAAGGCCCACATCATGAAGCTGAGAATGAGGACGATGAGGGCACCTCTATGGTCCAAGGGGTGCTGAGAGTGCGACCTACATGGAGGCAGCTTATGGAACAGCTTACTGAATGGCAGCATAGAGGGGTACGAGTCACACCCATTCTGGATGTTCTGAGGGGGCTTGCCCGTCGTCGGAGTGACCATGGCTATGACGAGTGGTTTCGTAACCCGATGGGATCTCTGACTACCAGTGTGGAACAGGATGATCAGAGTACCTCCGGGGGACCGGAACTTGATCCCAGCAGAGGTCGCATCTGGGCCGAGGATGTCGAGCACCTGTTATGGGAATGCTATTGCGCCGACCACCTCGGAGTTCGTAGAGGGGCAGAACGGGATGCTGTCCACCTCATGGAGCGACACAGGGAAAGGTCCGGGAGACGACGAGTGAGGCCGAGAAGACGGTCCAGGACTCCAGGTAGGGACAGAGGCTCCTCGCATGTCCGGGTGACAGAGTCTATCCGCTACCTTGGTGACCCGAGAGATTGCTACACTCCTCGGGAGGTTGAGAGAGGCCCGGGAAGTGCCGCGAGCCACTCCGAAGGTGCCCGACACAGCCACTCGGGAGGCAGTGCTACAACCAGAACCAGTGTGAGACCGAGCTCCGGCTCTGGTCATAGTGGAGCAGGGAGTTCTACTGACCCGCCCCCGCCTCCTGCACGTGACCTACAACAACCACTCAGCAGAGATGAGGCGACTGATCTGTGGAGATACCTGCTAGGGGTGGACAGACAGTCGTGGCCCTCTAGAACGAGGGTCATTGGCGCAGGACAGCCCTTCCTGCCGGGGCACATGCAGCGTGACATCCAGAATCACTTCCGGAGGATGTCGTCTCAGAACAGATTGGTGATGACTGCCAACTTTATTGAGATGATTCGGTATTTGATGGCAGAGGTCTCCAACCTGATGCACCAGGCGGACTTCATGAGCAACCTCCCAGCGGACGAAATGGTGGAGGTGGAGATCGAGGGTCCAGAGGATGAAGGGGATGGGAATGAGCTGATGCAACGCTATCTGCACACGGGGGGCAAAGACACGAATGAGGATAGATGGCAGCGTTGCTTGGCGAGGCTTCAGAAGGAACTGTCCTCCCAGACCCCGGCCAGCAGGTGGGCAAATATAAGGCGCATCCGACAAGCCTTGCCTGCTTGCGAGCCCTGGAGTATGGCCGAAACTAGACGAGAGCAACTTCGGGCTCTCTTGGTGGCGATGTTGGATGCAGTACCAGAGGGTGTTCCCATCGAAGCAGCCAACGAACAATGGCTTGGCTCTTGGGGGAACGAGTTGGAGTTCTTCCTGCCAGGGACATTGTTTCCTCTCGCTGTCGTACCAGTGCCTGTGGTCGAGAGCGACAGCGGGGAAATGCCGGCGCGGGCTGATGAAGGATGCCTGCCAGAAGGGTCACTACCTCCCCCTGCGACTACGCCGGAGGAGGGCCAGGGGTCAAACGAAGTGGACAAGGCTAAGAGGGAGATTGAGACGGCAGCCTACGCGGAGAAGGAGGCTGAGCTCCTGCAGAGTCAAGCGGCTGCGTATCAGGCCTGGGAACGCGAAGAGCTGGAGAGGGAGCTGTCCAGACTGTCCAGGAAGAGGCCCCTGGAGTGCTGTCGGCTCACAGTGGAGGCTTCGTCGGGGAGCCGTGACAGGCCTCGCACCGTGCACTCGTACAGCTTCATGGTCCCTGCCTCTGGAGAAGAAATGCGTGTCACTGTCACGGCGGCAATGGTTCAAGATTCGGGGGAAATTGGATCAGGGAGTGACAAACCTCCTGATGAGGCGACAGGCAGCGAAGGGCCCACTGTCGTCCTGCCTGCAGCAGGCTGTGAGACCCATGGACTTGCGGGTATGGCCTTTGCGGACTACGAGAAGATCTACCAAAGGTGGAAAGCAGGTGGCCTCAGCTTGCAAGAGGTGGAGGAAGGGTATGGGGTGGAAGTCGCGGAGCTGCTCATGACGCACGACCTTGTCGCAGAGCAAGGTGGGGATACCATCGAGGCGATGCATGCTGGGACTGTCGGTCCAGGGGTGGAAGGTCCTGTGGCTCCGGCAGGGGCTCTGGATGTGGTTGCACCCAGCTTGAAACAGAAGCCATCGACCTGTGCACGGACGAGTCCGCTGACCGAGAAGGGTGAGGGCAGGTGAGTGAAGTGCCGCAAGGGTTCCGCGTTTTCGCCTTCCACAATGTGGATTCCGCCGACCTTGACTGCTAGGGGGAAAAAGGTGCTT